TTCATTGATCGGACCGGCCCTCGGTAATTCAGAATGAATGATTTATTCCATTCATCAAGGTCCAAAGCAGGACTTGAACATGGGTCTGTATTTTTTTTTTTTTTTTTTTTTTAACAGTTCACCGGTGTACCAACTGAGCTGGGCTCGTTGGTACCTGTAGTGTTCCAAAGACTTCTTGTCATAGCATGCGTTGCCCTCCCTCCCATCCCTCTTACCTCGCTCTCTCTCTCTCTCTCTCTGCCTTCCCCCCCCTCCTTTTTTTTTTTTTTCTTTACTTTTCCAAGATTCGATCTCCTTCCTTTGCGAGGAGCAGCAGTTCTATTCAACGCCATCGGCGGGAAAACACATACAATCACGTGCACAATCACGTGCACATCCTTCGCTCCCCATCACAGCTTGAAAAAGCCATAGCCTGAATCATAGCCGCTGCTCAGCAGAGACATCTCGCCTAACCTCGGCTACCCATCCAGTCGGCAGGGCATTGATTACTCTTAAGGGGAAGGAAGGATTGATCTCCCTATAACAAATCAATATAGGATTTATTATTATTATTATTATTATTATTATTATTATTATTATTATTATTATTTTTATTATTTTTAATATAGGATAATTATAGACAGCAGTAAGGATTTTCCTGCTTTCAGAATCTTCCTTTTTTCTTATCGTTCTTAGCCTTGCATCTTCTTCTACTGCCCACCCTTTTCGCCGCAGCGGCAACCCCACCCCCCCCGAAAAAAAAAAAAAAATAATAAAAAAAATTGTCCCCTTAGACTGAGCTCTGGACGTGATTACGGTCAGATGCATCACGGTTCGGCCGTAATTGCAGTCAGATACATTTAGCAATCGTTCCTGATCACACTGTGGCAGCCAATGGAACCAAGGCGAAGGGTCGCCCAGGCCCCCAGCCAATCTCTAAGACTCCGGCCTTTCCCCTCCAAGCAGAAAACGAGTGCTCAAACCCCACCACCTTTTTTTTATTTTTATAAATATATATTTCAGCCCCAGCCAATCTGTCAGCCTAAAGAATAATAATTAAAATTAAAAATATATATATGTCAGCTGTCGCGGTTGCGCTTCAAGCATGGCGTGAGGTAACCCACCTTCTTATTTATTTATTTATTTATTTATTTATTTATTTATTTATTCAGTTATTTATTAAAGTCGAGGTTATTGTAGAGGCCAGATTCCAGATATACAGTGGTCGCAGGCATCAGGCAGCCGTTGGTTATCCTGACCATTTTTTGTGAGACCGCCACTCGAGCCACCTAAGAACAAGGAAGACGTTTCCCAATACATAAATGAGCAGTCCTACCGCCACCCTACTTCTCTGTGTCTCTCCCTCTCTCTCTCTCCCTCTCTCTCCCTCTCCCTCCCTCTCTCTCCTTGTCCTTCTTCTCCCTCTTCTCCCTCTTCTCCCT